CCTATAAGGTCATCAAATCCAACTGTTAACCTGCCAACATCACTAAACCATGTCCCTAAGTACAAAATCTACCTGTTTCTTAAACACCTTCCTGGGCAGGCTGTTCCAATGCCTGACAGCCCTTTCAGTAAAGAAATTCTTCTTAATATCCAGCCTGCACCGCCCCTGGTGCAGCTTAAGGCCATTTCCCCTTGTTCTATCGCTTGTTACTAGGGAGAACAGACCGACCCCCACCTCGCTACAACCTGCTTTCAGGCAGTTGTAGAGAGCAATAAGGTCTCCCCTCAGCCTCCTTTTCTCCAGACTAAACAACCCCAGTTCCCTCAGCTGCTCCTCATAAGACTTGTGGTCTAGACCCTTCACCAGCTTTGTTGCCCTTTTCTGGACACGCTCCAGCACCTCAAAAAAACCTGCACGCAGTATTTGAGGTGCAGCCTCACGAGTGCCAAGTACAGGGGAACAATCACTTCCCTCATCCTGTGGGCCACACTATTTCTGATACAAACCAAGATGCTGTTGGTCTTCTTGGCCACCTGGGCACACTGCTGGGCAGGTTAGCATTGGCAGAGGGGTTTACACTATTCCCACTTGCTCAAAACAAAGCAGAACAAGGATTCAATTTCTTTTTCAGCTTCATGGAAGCCAAATCTGCATTTCTTGACTACTGAATATCATCCATTTCTCATACTGTAGCTCTTTCAAAGAGAATTTAGGATTGACTGGCATGGAGAGAAAGAGGACAAGTGGGAATATGGTCGTGTGCAGCCTTAGAGTGTTAATGCGGGAGTCAAAACTTTTGAGTTCTGGTGCCTGTTTTTTTTTTTTTTTTTTTCCTATTAGAGTGATTGGATGTGCTTGATTTTGCTTAGACTGACATACTTGGTCTCATATTGGCTTTTTTCAAAGTCCACTGAAACTAGTATAATCATTTCTGGCCTTTCTTTTAGATTACTCATTTCTCCAAGTGACCTTCATGTATCCTTTCACGCAGTTTTTCTGTAATGTCTTAGCAATGACCAGTCTGTACTCAGAATTAAGCATTACCTAGTAGTAAGAACTCTGCCTTAAGTGTAAGCAAGATATTTTGCCTTACCTGTGTTTTACAGGGACTGGTTCCTAGAATTAGTGATGGCAATTAAAATTTACATTGTAGCAAAGGGAGAACAAGTTGTTGAGCAGAACAATCCGACTTGCATGAAGAAAATTTAGCCCTGGACTTTGCCATCCAACAGTTTTATGAAATAGCCTAGGGAACTTATTTGCAACCAGTGAATCTCTCTCAGGTTTTTATCAACCAGAAAGTCAGTTGTTCAAATCAGCAGGGCACAAGGCACAAGTCTGGGAGACATGCGGAGGTACCATATAATAAATATGACATCATTACATACCTTCAGAAAAAAAAAAAAAAAAAGAAGCCTCCAGCTGCATTTTGTGAGTGACCTGGTCTTTTTGGGGTGCACTGGGAAGCCAGGAAAACACCAAATAAGTCAAGTTTTTAGGGAAATTAGGCACTGGAAAGCCTCAGTTCAGATTGTAGTCTGTCTAGGCATGGACCTTTTCATCCCTCCTGAGGCTGGGACAGCTTTGATGCCTAGCAGTTCTGTAAGTGGGAAATAAGACACTGAAAATCAGGCACCTCAGAGAACTACTGCACAAAAGTCTGGGGAAGTTCTGGTTTTGACCCTATTTTTAATCTTGTTTTCTGTGTCATAACACTGATGCAGAAATTCAGTGTAAGAGAAAAATTAAATGTAGTTGTGGTGAATTTACTTTTTCATGGTCTTATAGCCAGAAAACCGCACAAATCAACACTTTTGGCTTTAACTTCTGTCTATCTGCAGCTTTTCTTAGCTGTTAATACATGAGAATATCATCACAGTTTATGTTTCATTTGCTGCTGCAGTGTGGGTATCAGCATAAAAAGGAACAAAACTTTGATCATCATGAAATCTTATGTTTATTTTGTGCTTCTTAATAACCACTGAAAGCAGTGACACATAGGCAGTGTTTAACATATATGTTCATCCATTTACCAAAAGGCATTTTCGCATCGAAACAGTGTTATCAGTGTTTATTTACCCTTCCATTTCACAGGGAAGAGATGGAGCTATTTGATTTATGAATAAACCAAAGAGCTTTTGCCATAAATCAGAATTCAGCAGCTTTGTTTCCTTACGTAAACTACTATTCTAATTGGATTTTCTCTCCTCCCAGATTTTATCTGGTTAAAGACCATAATCACATATTTCAAGTTAATTGTAACAGAACACAAATACATGGACGGTTAGATCTAACGATAAAGGACTTTTAGTTCCAAAACTGAGTCATAAATTAAAAGAATCCAACAGAGGAGGGAGAAAGACTGTGTTGCATGGTAGTGATGGGGAAGTCGGGTAGGTTTAATCCTCTCTGATCTTGACAACATTTTTCTTTTTTGTGAAGACTTTAGCTCTAGATTTTAAGTAGATTTTTTTTCTTCTTCTTTGTAAAGTTGCTGTCTTTGCTGGCAGGCTTCCTTAGCAGAAAGGGAATTCAGCCTGCAAGCTTCCAGTTGCTCTAGAAGTTACTGTGTCTGTACAGCACTGAAATCATGCTCTCTGCTGAGTTCAGCAGCCATAGCAATCCTGCATTTGATTACATTGCATTTTGTTATTAGGTGTCTCTAGGATTCCCTCAGGGGCATTCATCAAAGATGTTAAGATTTCTTTCATTTTTTTAAGACCATTGAATGAAAATGTGTGCTAAATTAACAGTATTATATATAGTATGTTGTAATAAAAAGACAAAAAATGTTTCCCTTTCCAGTCTGTTCTTTTCCTTCCGATTTACAAATGCAATTTAAGCTACAGTGATGACTCTTCTTTAACACAGTACTTAGGCAGACAGATAGTATATTATTGAAACACCTTGAGCAATGTTTATAGATTATCTTTCCTCTACTTTTTTTTTTTTTTTCCTGCCAAAGAGCATACCAGGGCAAGAAAGGAAAAGAAGATCATGTTCTGGGGCAGCAGAGCAGGTGTTACATAGACAACACAGGCTTTCCCAGCACAACAAGCTTTGGTGTGACTTGAGAGAACTTCACCTTCTCCAACAAGCTCAAGTAAGGCCAGCTGCCAGAGAGCACGGGCTGCTAGTGTAGTGTCTCTGTAGTGTCAACCTGACTGCTGAAGGCAAGGACACAGCCAGAGCGTACAGTTTAGGAGGTGTAATAACAGATTTCAGATATCAAGGCCTGAAATCTTTGTGATGTCTGTTCTAGCCAGTGATTCTGTTCTTGTGACTGCTGATGTCCGTGCCTGTCTGAAGTGAGCAGCTGAGGAACAAGGGTCAAAGCAGGTGAATGTGTGGCTTTACAATATCTGCCCCATTCTATAGCCTAATGATGTCTTAGGTGCCTCTGTAGAACTAGGTACTTCTGAGCATTCCCAGCATCAAACTTCAGTCACCTAGAGAAATTTAAAGCTGAACAGGAGAAATAAATACCAACAGTATTTGGTGCTGAGAAGACCATCTGGATTTCTTGCTAAGGCTCAGGTACTTAACTGACAACTTTGACATAATTTAAGGAGTCTGATTCTTAGTGTAGCAATCTTCTTCGCTCAGAGCTGTCCTTTGTTTTTACTCCTTTTTTTCCCTCTTGTTTACAAGCTGAATTCTGCATATAAAAGCGATTCTTTCCTCCAGTGGGCTGTAACTGTCTCTAAGTGACAGCCCATCTTCACAGTTCTCTTTATCATCTCTTGTTTCTTGAAAATACAGGAAAGGTTTCCAAAAATGTCAGGCGTGGGTGGTTTGAATTGTCTCCTATATACTGTAAGGCTTGCTTTCTTCCAGGTGTAAGTGGTAGAAAATGAAGGAGGGTGTTGATGGTGATGCTGACATATCCTCTAGTTTCTTTTATCTCTTACGTAAAATCTAGTTTCTTTCACCTCTTCTGAGTAGAGTCAATATCAAAAAAACAGAGACACCTGCGTGTTTCAGAGAAGCTGGCAATAAGATTATGTCTGTCCTTTGGATTCTCAGTTAGCTATTCCCATAGTGTGTTCTAAAAAGTAGTGGTTGGGGTCTGCTGCTCAGCAAAACCACTATAAAATGTAACATTTGCAGTGTTATCACTGTTGAAAGCTTAATAATATGATAATTCACAATTAGTTCTTTCATTCAGATAGTTTGCAAAGCCGTTTTCTAAAGGGAGTCCTCATTGATGGAGACAAACAGCCTTCTCAGGAGCACCACAACCGGGTATTCTGATTTCACTGCATAGTTTGTTTGGTCTGGCAAAGAAGGGAGAACCTTGATTTTTATTTAATAAAATCAAGTCATTATGCTGTGATAGGATGTTTTTCCTCAGACATAGAAGGCACTAACTACAGGTAAACATATATAGTCAGCAAAAATACCAGCTTCAGACTAATGAGCTAGAGAATCAAGAAGGTTTTCAAGTGTTAATTAGGAAAAAGTTATTCTGCTATATGTGTGTAATTTACTGTAGTAGATTAATTTATCGGTGTTGGCATAAAGCAGTTAAGAAGTCTTAGTAATATTTCAAAAGCTCATACTAGCTTTATCATAACTGGCAGTATATTGACTTATGTTGTCCCAGATTTTCAGTAGCTTCACTGAACATGAAGTGTAGTGGTACTATTGAATATTTTGAGTCTTCCCAGATAAATTTCATTTTTCCACTCTAGACCAAATTCATTTGACTTCTGGGCTCAGCATCTTTTATCTAATGCTTTTAGAAACTCACGCTCTT